GTAAATATGTAAATAAAAACAATGTAAATATGTTGTTTTTTACAGAAATGTAGAGTCAGATGATATAAAGATTGACAGAAAACTTCCTGATGTTCGGCTTCTTTTCATTACCTCATCCTGTCTGTCTGTTAGCAAAATATCTCCTGAACCAAATGTTTCACCAAAAACTGATTTGTGTTCGCATTCTGCACTCAACCTGCTCCTGATCCAAACAGTTTGTGTAAAAATTGAGGTTTTATCAAACAGAAACAGATTTTTTGATGGTAAAATGTGAAGAAGGTTTTTTAGTTATTTTCTGAAATAAAAAAATAAAATAAAATCTGGGCCAGAAGGAGCCTCCAGCTGAATCAGCAGCTGTGACTGAAGACTCAGTTTAATCCTCTGATGAGAGGAAAACCTGGCAGCTTCTGGAGTCCCCGGGACCCCCAAGAACCCCCCAGGAATCCCAAGGATTCTACAAACCCACAGGTCCCCTCAATAAGCCTTTAGAACCCCCCCCCCCACCTTAGGCCTCCTGGCAACCCAAGGACCGCCCAAGAATCCCACAGGACACAAATAATCCCCCCGGATACCACAGAACCCCCTTAGGACCCTCAGAATGCACCAGGACCCCCACAGGACCCCCATGAACAAAAACTGACTGACTTAATACTTAAACTTCATTTTTTATTTCTATAAGAAGAGGAAATTTRAATGAATAATGACGTCATTACATCATGTGGCCACCAGGGGGCGCTCAGTCCAAGGTGTTTTATTAGGTTCAATAATTTAATTATTATTTAAGTTAATGAAAGACTGCTTCTGTAAATATGTTTTATTAAAATGTGTGTAAATAAAATAAATAAAATGACCAGAATGAGTCGCAGAAAATAAAGTTTTTGTTCCAGTAAGTTCATTATTTTAGTCTCAGATGATGTTTTCTTTATTATGTTTGTGTTTTTTGCGGTATTTTTACATGTTTTTATGTAGATTTATTGTTTTTAGTCCACTTGTTCTGAATCTTGTGGATGTTTTTATTATAATTATTAGTTTTTTGTTGGTTTTTAGCCGCATTAAATTCCCCGSGGCAGAGCGGAGCGCGCAGCGGGAACCCGCACGGACCGCGCGGCTCAGCTGGCGCGTGGCTGTTGGACGCAATAAAAGGGCGCGTGGTGCGCGCGGGGGGCGGTGCTCGCCTTCAGTCCGGTCGCAGCTCCGCACGCAGCGGCCGCATCTTGCTCCGAACCACCGGCAGAACCGCGCTGCTCTCCGCGTCTCGCCCGGTTGTACCGTGGACTCCACCGAGCGGGTAAAAACACCACCGAAGAAGAAGAAACAGCAGCTAGCTTCAGCTAGCAGCGCCGACATGGTGGCATCAGCTCCGGGGGTCCTGCTGGTCCTGGTCCTGGTCCTGGTCCTGGCTCTCCAGCTCTGCGGTACCGTCCGCGGTGAGTGCCCACCCCCCTCCCCTCTGTCTCCGGCTGTTTCTCGGTTCTGTGTTCGGCTCTGGCCCGGTTCGGAGCGGTGAGCTAACGCCGAGCCGTACAGCTGCTGCGGCTGTTCCTTCCCGGGGCTCGCTAGTTTCTGTTCCCCGCAGGAGCAGAACCACCGAACCGGGACGGTTTACCGCCCGGTTCTGTTGGGTTTGTTCAGAGGAAAGAGTCTCTGCGCCTCATCTGCTGCAGATTTATTATTTATTAGGATTTATTAGGATTTATTAGGATTTATTAGGATTTATTGGGAAATGAGGAGTAAAAAGGCCCAATTAGCAGCAGGTGCTCCTTAATGAGCTCATTATTAATAAACCTGTTTAAATTAAATTATCCTGAGAGGCTTTAAACCTCCTCTGTGTCTTTATTTATTTATTTATTTATTTATTTATTTATTATTTTTATTTTATTTATTTCAGTTCAGAGTTAAATGATGCAACAAACTAGATTAATGTGTATTTTCTGGTTTTGGTTAATATAAGTCTCTCTAATTCAGGTAAATTGCATAAAATTAAATTTATTAATCATTTAAAGTTTCTGGAATCAGTAAAAATGACTTAATGAGCTTTTTTTCCCACTGATTTTTTTTAAATGAACATTTTAAGTTGTCTCTGTGTTTCCTACAGTTATTTTCTATCCTTAATGCTTTTTAACATTTTTTATTTAATCAAATCTTGTTTTAGTTAACTAAGAAAATAGTTTATTTAACTAAATATAAACAAAGTCCTTGTATCTTTATTGTAAATCTTWACATTATTTATAAATAAAGCCAGTTTGAACAAGTTTCCTGAACAAATTAAACATTTTTATTTCTCTTTATAAAAATAAAAGCTAAATTATTTTTGTGTTTACTAAGTCATCTGGTCCATAAGTATGTTTATATTAAGTGTTTTGCTTGTTTTAAGTGGTTATGTGGATAAGTTTTAACAGTTAGTATCTTACCTGCAGCAGGTGATTCTTAATGACCTCAGATCCAATCAGAACCAGCTGCAGACAGGTGTTCAAGTCCATCCAGTGGTTTGAGATATTTTACTAACAGTCAGTGTGAAGACTTGTCTGTTGGTGACTCTCAGCCACCATGTCAGGTTTCACCTGACGCACCTGAGCTGGAGCTGTTTGTGTGGCGGCCATCTTGGACCAGTCGGCTCCACATTGAACCAATCAAACTCTGCTCAGGATTTCTAATATTTCCTCTTTTTAGTTTTTTTTTAACAGATAAATGTTTTTATTGAAGCAGCAGAACCAGGTTAAATATTGAGTCCATGAACACAAAGTTGTGCAGGTGAACCTGTCCAACACCTGACTTTAAATCTGTGAAACGAGCAGAAAAATCATTAAATCTGAATCAAACTGGAGCTGCAGAGACCCTCTGATGGTTCAGACCGGACCCCCTCCTCTAAGGGTCCAGCCTGGTCCGGGTCAGGCGTTCAGAACACTGCCTGTTTTAAAATCAGTTTGATTTTCTCCTCCACTGTTCGGATGCTGTGGGTCCTGATGGGAGGAGGAGGAAGGAGGAGGAGGAGGAGCAGAGCTGAGTGTTTGTTACTGGGGAGAGAAACACCATGACCTGGTTTTATACTGGGAGAGGATTTGAAGCTTCAGATCCAACCTGAGATGATTTTACTGAGGCTCCTCCTCCTCCTCACCTGCTGACTGAACTGTTTCACCTGMTTTATTTGTTTGTTTTTGTTTGTTGTGTCTGAGTCATTAAATAAACTTCAGTTTATAGTTGAACCTGTTCAAGATGGCCGCTGCAGTGTTACAGGTACTGGGCTGAACTGGTTTCATCTTTTAGAGTTTTTAAAAGAAGTTTGTCATTAAAATACGATCAGAGCCACATGAAGACTTTTTTAATKACATGTTATGAAAACTCGTACAGGAAGTCTTAGAGCTGCGTTAAAATAATGTTGAATCTGGTCAAATTAAACTTTATTGGTTTTACAAATGAAACATTTTAACACATCAGCATCAAGAGTTTGTCCGCCGACCATCAGCCAAGGCGTGCTAGCTGTTAGCCTCTCTGATGCTGACTCCAGCTAAGGCGTGCTAGCTGTTAGCCTCTCTGGTGCTAACTCCAGCCAAGGCGTGCTAGCTGTTAGCCTCTCTGGTGCTAACTCCAGCCAAGGCGTGCTAGCTGTTAGCCTCTCTG